GAGGATCTCTGTCACGTTGATCCCTGCTCGGCGAAAGCCTTCACGGAACGCACCGACCTCGCAGCCACGGACAATATCAGCATCAGCGGTCTCCACTATCGTGGCGCACACCCTTCCGAAGTTAGCGCAGTGAGTGGCCGCCTGCTTACCAGTCATCATGCCCTGCTCGAACCCGAAATTGAACGAGGCTACCGTGAAAGACGCAGGCTGCACAGCGCCAGAACCAGGCGTCTGTCCACCTTCCTCCGCAGGCTGAGAAGCACCGCGAGGCGGCGCAGGCTGAGAAGCACCGCGAGGCGGCGACACTTCGGACGAGCCTCGCGGAGCAGAGGCTGCGGATGAACGTTGGGTAGGGGGGTACGGCCAGGGGAACGCCATTGCAATCGAAACTGAGTGGACTGCAGTGAGTGAATGCAGTGGCACGATTGAATGCAGTGGACTGCAGTGTCACTAGCAATTCCTGAACCAAACACGGCTGTGGCGGAAGGACTACGAAGCGTCTGGCTATTCAAAATGTGGCCCGGGCATGTAGTTCTGGGAACTCGAAGACCAGGAAGTGGCCTACAGTTGGCTCCGGGCATCCAAAATGTGGCCCGGGAATGGAATTCTGGGAACTCGAAGGAGCAACGAAGTGTGTGACGTTGCATCCGGCACCTCCAGAAAATGTGGCCCGGGAATGGCCGTTCTGGGATGTCGAAGAGCACGAAGTGGTGTGACTGTTGCAATCTGGTTTATTCTAAAAATGTGGCCCGGGAATGGCATTCTGGGATCCTCGAAGAACAACGAAGGTGTGTGAACTGTTTCATCTTGGGTATTCAGAATGTGGCCTGGGAATGGAGTTCTGGGAAGTCGAAGAGCACGAAGTGTGTGACTGTTGGTGAAAACCGAGCCCGGCACCCTGCCGCCCGGCAACTCCCCAACACCTGCCCGGACCCCCCTGTGGAGTGATCTGTGAGCTCTTTTGAGTCAACTAGAAACCTATCAGTCTTCGCTGTTAGGTAAATACACCAAAAAGGTCTAAAGATACTCCAAAGATAGTCCCCAGACTATGTTTGGATTATTTTTTGATTATTTTTGGGGCATGTCTTATTTTATTCGAAATTCCCCCTGTAGGGGGACAGGCCCGACCTAAGGCGAACCTCCACGGGCAGTGGATCGGAGGTTGGGCGGCGAGATCGCAGCGGAACGGAGAGAGACCCCCCCCCCGGGAAGTCGGTTTCGGTCTCGTCGTCGTGCCGCGCGTGCGGGCGAGGCGAAGCTGCGTGTGCGCGCAGGAGGACTGGTGCCGCCGTGGCCAGGGGCTGTGGACCCAGACCCCCTCGAGTTATGAAAAAATCACGACGGGAGGTTGTTCACTGTTTTTGGCCTCTGGGGGCCCCTACCGGCCCTCGGGACCGTCAAAAAACGACTCAGGACGAAAAACCGGTCCCGGGGAATGGGTCGAGACCTCGGGGGGTCGACGTCATGAAAAAATCATGACGTCGTGGGTCTGGGGAGCTGGTTGTCCGCCCCTCCCCCCCCGGCGCGCGGTGGCCGGGGGTGTCCCGTGGGTGGCGCGGGGGTACCCCCTCGGTGGCGAGAGGGCGTGCCCCGTCGGTGGCGCGGGTTGTCCCGACGGCGATTCCGGGTGTCCCGCCGTGGTGTCTCGAGGGTAGCTCGTGAGATCAGGTGTTAGATCGATCGTGAGATCGATCGTGAGATCGATTGCGGGCGACCGATCGTGATCGTGAGATCGATCCCGGGTTGCCCCGTGGGTGGCGTGGAGGTGGCCCGTCGGTGGCGCGGGGTGTCCCGACGGCGGCTCCAGGTGTCTCGCCGTGGTGTCTCGATGGTAGCTCGTGAGATCAGTTGTGAGAGATTGAGAGATCGATCGTGAGATCGATAGCGAGATCGATCCTACCTAACAGATCTTTGGCTGGGGGTGTCGCCGCCGTGGTTGGGGATGCCCCATCGTGGTGTCCCGATGGTGTCTCGTGAGATCTCTTGTGAGGTCGATAGCGGGATCTCTAATGCGATCGATCTTGAGATGGATAGTGAGATCGATAGTGCGATCGATATCGAGAGCGATCGTGAGATCGATGGTGAGATCGATGGTGGTGAAACTCGTGAGGTCAATGGCGCCATCCCATTGCCATCGCAGTCATTTCATTCGAACCCTGTGGCCCAAGATGCCCCCCAGACCCCCCGAAATCAACATTGATGGCGTGGCGACGGGGGGGGGCGTGAGCGGACAGAAATATGCGAACCCCAAAAAGCACCGCCTCTACTCAGATCAGCACTGACGTCGGGGGCGCGGGGGTGATTGAGAATCTCCCTCGAATGTGTAAGGGTTCGAATCTACTGTCCACCCACTGTAGGACGTCGGTCCCCAGGCGGTGGCTGTGGATACGTGCCCGCCACGCAGTGGCGGGCTGCTCGTCCGCCTGCGGGCTCGGGCTACCGGTGGTCGGCTCTCGGTCGGCGCCCATGCGGTGCGTCCGCCGGGGCCGGGCACAGCAGCGCCCTCCCGCCGCCTCGCCGCGGCGGGCGTGCTGGCTGGGCCGCTCCCCCTCCTCCTCCTCCTCCTCCTCCTCCTCCTCCTCCTCCTCTTCTCCTCCTCCTCCTCCTCCTCCTCCTCCTCCTCCTCCCTCCTCCTCCTCCTCCTCCTACCTCGCGTCCCTGGCCGCTCGCGTCCCTGGCGTGCGGAATGTAGGAAGGCCGCAGACGGGTGGGTCGGAAGGCCACAGACGGCCGCGGTTGACCGCTCACCGTCGGGTGGCCGCGCACAGGGTCGCCATGCCGAACAAAAGTGGCATAAGCATGAAAACTCGAGTTCCGCGCAGATTTCTCGGATCGGCGCTGGGGCCCTCCCCGGCGGCGCCTCCGGCGCCACCCCTGGCGCGCTCCGCGCGCCAGGGAGGGGGGTCCAGCGCCGATCCGAGAAATCCGCGCGGACCTCCGAGGTTTTATGCTGATGCCATTTTCTGTTCCCCCAGAAGCGGGTCCGGAGGGAAGCGGGGGACGGGTCCTGAGGTTGCTCGCCGTTGCCGGGCTCCCGGGGCCATCCGCGAGCCCGGGGGGGCGGTCAGGGACCGGTTCTCAAGATGGAGAGCTCGCGCTGGGAGCAGGCGCCAGCGTCCAGGGGCCGTTGCCCTCAGGGCCCGCTTCCCCCATGCCAGATAGTGGGGTGGCCCGTTGCCCTCAGGGCCCGCTTCCCCCCATGCCAGATAATGGTCAAGGGGCCCCAGGACACACAAATTGATACACTCAAATACAAGGATTCCCCATCATTTCGCATATTTTCTGGGTTTTTGTCTCCCCCCCCCCACTTCCCATACTTTCCCACACTTCCTTCGAATCGACGATTCATTGTGTCTGTGTGTTTTTTCCCCTCCTGAAATGGGGTGGCGCGAAGGGATTGGCCTTCTGAGGGGGCGGGGGTACCATGCGCCCCGCAGCCTCGGTCCAGTTTCTCATCGAAGCCCACCGTCGTCGCCTTCTGGGCACGCTCCGACCTGCCAGGTGTCACGTGCCCTGTTTCGTGCTGCTCCAGGCTTGTGTCGGGCCTCTCCCTCTACAGGAGGAATATTCGAAAACAATCCAAAAATAGTCTGGGGACTATTTTTTAATATTTGTGGGCATCTTTTGAGTATTTTTGGAGTATGATTTATTTTTCGTCGAAAATCCCCCTGTAGGGGGACACGCCCGACTGGGAGCCGGCGGTAAACCGTCAACCTTGGTTACCGCCAGGAACTCGTAGAGCTTCCTCGTGCAATGCGGGCGCGGCAATCTCGCATTCCGCGCGCGCGAGGGTGAGGAAGATGAGAAGAAGGAGGAGAAGAAGTAGTCTGGGGACGATGTATTTTTTGTATTTTTGGGCATCTTTTGAATGTTTTTGTTGAGTATGTTCTATTTGTCGTCGAAAATCCCCCTGTAGGGGGACACGCCCGACTTAAATCCAGGGGGAGCGCTCTCGCGGCAGGTTTCCGTGACGCTGCCAGCGAGTGGCCGGCGAGGAGGCGCGCCTCACAGCGGGCGGAGCCGGCAGCGGGCGGGAGGGGGGGGCCCTCCTCGGAGGGGGCGCCCCGTTGGCCTCCGAGGAGGCTTCCGGGAGGCCGGGGCGGCTCCTCCTCCTCGTCCTCCTCCCTCTTCCTCCTCGCTCCTCCTCCTCCTCCTCCTCCTCCTCCTCCTCCTCCTCCTCCCCCTCCTCCTCCTCCTCCCCCTCCTCCTCCTTCTGCTCCTCCTCCTTCTCCTCCTCCTCCCCCTCCTCCTTCTCCTCCTCCTCCTCCTCCTCCTCCTCCTCCTCCGCCTCCTCCTGCCTTCCTTGGAGGCCTACCCCCCCCCCCCTTCGGCGGCCTCTTGGCAGGCCGCCCCCCTCGCAGGGCAACCCCTCGTGGCGCCCCCCGCCGGGGCTCGGGGTGGCCCCGCGCGGTTTTGGGGGGGCTCGGGTCCGGCTGCTCCAGGGGGCTCGGGTCCGGCTGCTCCGGGGGCGTCCCGGGCGGCGGGGGCCTCCAGGGTCACACACGGGGGCGGTGCGGGAGGGGCCGTGCGGTGGTGAGGCCTTCTGGGTGTTCGAGCTCGCCGCGCGGTCTGTCGGGGGAGAAAAAGATACGGATACGTGTTGTCCCCCGTCGTTTTCGGCCTTTCCTGGTCCTCCTGGGGAATCCTCGTTGTCACCGCTGGATTCGCCTCGAAATTCTGGTCAGAACGCACCCCAAGAGAGGTCCGGGGACAACACGTATCCGCATCTTTCCGCCCCCCAAGTCTGTGCACAGGCTGCCGTGGAGACTCCCAGGGTGACGCGTCTCTTCCAGAGTACAGGGCGCTGCCGTGCTCTCTCTGGTGGCCCGCTCCTGCGCGGCGAGACTTTTGGCTCCTGGAGCCGATCGCTCGGCCGTATCCTCTGCCGCCCCCAGCTACATCCTGCCATCTGCTTTTCTCCTCCTGCCCTGCCTCGTCGTAGCTGTCATCCTCCTGCTCCTCCCCCTTCCTGCCGCCCCTCGCTGTCGCCCCACCGGTAG